AAATTGCCCGCAGCACCTTCCCACAACGTCGGTTGCGCTGGCCTTGGTGCGTGCACCGATCTGCCTCACTGGTGCAATGAGAGGGCGCGGCCTCGAGCAACTGATCCCCAGGGCCGCCACCTCTCAGTATAATTTTTCTCAGTTGCCACTCTCTCCTTTGAGGGAGTCGCCCCTGATTGCACTCTGCCCAAGGACAGAGACGCAACTGAGAGATGATAAATAATGTATTAAAAACCTGCTTTTCGAAGCGTAGCTTAGATGTGGCACAAGGCCGAAAGTATGAGGCACCCCTTTGAGAATTGAACTCACTACTCAGTCGTAACTGTTTTGGCGAGATAAGCTTGCTAACCATTACACCACGCCGAAGTGCACAAATGATTTTCTAAGCATAGCATAGATGTGGCACATTGCCGAGAGTGTGGAGCACCCAGTGAGGATCGAACTTACTATTCAGTCATAACTGTTTTACCGAGATAAGCATACTAATCATTACACCACTGCCCGGATATCTGAATTGTTATACTTGCTTGATTTTGGCAACTTCAATTTGTAATTTGTATTTTGTCTTCTTGCAATTAATATTTAGTCCTTTCTTCACCTTTTCTCTCAATTACCATCTGTAAGAGTTCTTGTAGTTTCCTTTCTGTGTCTGCTATCAATACTATGTCATCTGCATATATCTTGTTAAGAATGTGGCCGCTAATAATGAATCGTATTACGACTTCTAATTCTCTCAGAATTGTCTCGCTGCGTAGGTTGAATAAATCCGGTGAGGAGACACAGCTGGTGTATTGCAATTTGGATGCAGCCTTGGCATCTCTTCAATTTGCGTAATTTCACTCTAAGTTTTCATATCACTGGAAGGTAGACGTTCCCGCAGTCGGCACTTGGCTATGTTTTGCAGTGTATTATCTGAATCTCTTATTGATAGTCGATTTGGTTTTTTCCTTTCTATTTCTGGGCTTCTCCATGTCTTATATACGTCTTGGATGTTCTTAAAACCAGGTGTTCGCGACTAGCTGATCATTTGTCGTGCACTATTGATGTCAACCATGCATTCTGTCTTCTTGCAATTGATGCTTTCTTCTTTCTTCACCTTTTCTCTTAATTACCTTCTGTAGGAGTTCTTGTAGTTCCCTTTGTGTGTCTGCTATCAACACTGTGTTATCTGCATATAATATCTTGTTAAAATTGTGGCCTATGGTAATAAATTCTGGTAGCACTTCCCTAATGTGTAAACGTATACCTAAATAGCTCTTATGGCAGAATCAAGTAATTACATAAACCACTTCTATAGGGATTTTAATCCTCATTGGGGCCATCAAATCTTTAACCACAATATATCCCCGACATCATGACGAAGACATTCACAAAATCATTACAGAGACCGCTTCTATTGTAGTGAGCTTAACTCTTAGCGAATATCCTACACATGGGATCTTGCAGCAGACGGACCTCTGCTCAGTAAATACCCTTAATAAGAACTATAGTAACCCTTTCTTAAATATTATTACTAGTATATCGAAAGTAATCTTCAGTGGGTACTCATAATTTGTGACCTTGTGCCATACTATATTAAGGTAAGTAAATACTGATATCATAGAAAAATTAAAACTTATTTCCAATCGTATAAAAGCGCTATCTACTAGATCTTTTGTTTTTAACATTTGAAATATTGATTTTTAAAAATCGATTCTTTGCCGTGAATCACGTGACTTTTATCTTCTGCAATGAGATCCGTTCTTACGGAACCCGATTATTAAAAGGCTGATTGCACTTAGGAGTTTGAGCTGCATCGAGAAATTTTTAACGAAACAAAACTACAAGGAAACTTATATTTAAAATCAGAAAAAAAGACAATTAAAATATCTGGAACACATATCAATAAAGTAGGTCTGGAGACTTTAGCACTCACAGGGAATATTGAAGGCAAGAAAAGTAGAAGGAAAACAGAAAGTAACCTATTTAACTAGTTTACGTATATGGACAGCAACAAAAAAGAAAAGATCGCAGTAACAAAAAAACAGGAAGCTGTGGAGAGTCATCATTGCCTACGCCTGCAGGAGCATTGTACAGAAGATAAAAATAAAACTTTCTAATCGAACCCGTTATTTCGTTCACTGGGGCAGATAGTTCTAGTTCCACATGCCATGCCTTTTCTGGGTATATCAGTATCAGTTAATTCCATTTAGTAACTCTACAAGTTTTTGTTGACCTCTGCTTTGGTCAAATGTTGAACACAACCCACCACGTGGACGAAATAAAGGGTTTGGTTCGAAAACCCAACGTATATCACCTGAAGAAGGCCGGAGCGTACAACGGCTGAAACGTCGTGAATATGACAATAAAGACGAGGACAACAGGCCGAATAATAGAAATAGTTAAAATACCTCATCTCAGAAATATAGACAAATAACATTTACATAGAATTTAGAATAGAACTAATATTTGTTAATAGCTATTTGAATTTCAATCTGAAACCTTTATTAAAAGAGTTTCGGTAGCCTGTTCTCATTTCGCTGTTTAAATTAGAAATATCTTGTATTAAATTTGCTATTATTTTCTTACTTGTGATACCGTATCGTGGTTAATACATTGGATTGTTCTAGAACACCAACTCATTTCATGATAACTCCAAAAATCTTATTTGAGCAAAACAACATAGAAAAATGTAGTGCGTATTTTTTTCTTTTATTTTTAATTTTCATATAAAATTAATCAAACGGATCTTTACAACCAATTCAACATATAACAGATAATTTTAATAGAGTATGAATGAAGAATATACAAATTTACCTATGTTCGAGTAGGTTTAATTAGATAAGCTATAAATATACAAATATTTCAATATATATATATATATTAAAAAAAAACAGTTTTATGATTTTTTCATTATAGCTGTGAAGGAACTAGCTTAAATATAGAAATTAATCTAAAATCTACATTGAATGAAATATGGCATGAGGCCGTGTTTAATGTGGGATTCCCTCGAGCATATGCGTTCAGAGATAAAAATTGATCAGTAATTTACATAAGGACTATTATCCTCATCTTTGTGGTTATTCTAAAAAAAACGTTTCGGCTATTGTCTTCTGCGGCCTTCACCAGGTGCTTCCGGGTGGAATTTCGAACTGAACACTTTATTTAATCTAGAGTGGTAGATTATTGTTATTATGCTACCGACCTCAAGATGTCTAGTCTAGTTCCTATTTGGTACTGCATAGTCGTTGCTTGCCCTGTTTCTACTGGCCGACACAAGGATTGAACCCATCACCAAATTCACGAATCAGCTATTGTTTCACAGGACAATCCTGAGTGTAGAACTTGGAGTCTTAAGCCTAATCTTCCGACTGCTACTTGTGTTGCTGCTTACCTCGCTTGACTGCACTTACCGGAGTATGTCTTTTCTACAGATGTACTGTTGGGGGTCTTAGTGTTATTATTATTTATTATTATTATTATTATTATTTATTTATCTATTAACGGCTCCCATATTGTATTTATTTCTATACTAGGCCTACTAAGGAGATCCTTATAGCTGTGTATATACACTGACTCTTTTATATGTCTGACGCTTTGGTTCTCAATGAAAGTTAGGGACACTTCGAGCGTTCAGGGATTAACCTTTGCCCTCTCTTATCGGTGAGGTATTGCTTGGACCGGCATGAAAAATGTCCCAAAACAATTATAAACATATTTTCATGCGAATATATTGTTGTTTCAATCAGAAAGAACACAGAAATTTATTCTTTTTCTTCTTTCATGTACCATGCACTTTCAGAACAGGGTCGTTTATTGCCCTTCACAACTTCCTATGCTTAGTAACTCTAAGCAATGTCTGTACTCTTAACATCTCTCCCACTTTCTATTTTGCCATCCATTTTCACTAGATCATTAGGTCGGTGACTTGCTTTTTTCTCTCTGCACCTTTTGCATTAATCTCTTGCGATTGTCAGACTTGTCAATGTCAACCTTACTTATTATATGTTACAGATATTTCACCATCCAGGGTAAGACGATAAACTACATCGGACAGCAAGGCCTCTGATCAGGAGGTCTTGAGGAGCGTGGAAACACATCTTAATTGCTGGTATTCCCAGGTCAACCCTAATCCGGAGTGGCAGCACTTGTTAGGGTCCCAGCTATAGGCAAATAGTTAACCCTCAAACTGGCATTAAAATACTATTAAAGTGTAAAAATAGCTTTTAATACCAGAAATGATTTGTAAAAAAAATATTACCAGCAATAATGTTTTGAAGGAAAAAATTATTACCAGCAATACATTTAAAAAAAAAATGCCAGCAATACTCCTTTGAAAAAAAAAATTACCGGCTATATATTATTGAAAAAAATATCACCTACAATAAATGTTTGAAGAAAACATGTTAACAGAATAGATTTTTGAAAGAAAAAATATTGACAGTAATAAATTTGGGGGCATAGAATATTACCGGTAATACATTTTTGATAAAAAAAATATTACCAGCAAGAAATTTTTGAAAAAAATATTACCAGAGATAAAAAATTTGCCGGTATTAAATAACACATTGAGGTTGATATGCCGTAATCCAAACCAAACCAAACCAAACCAAACCAAACCTAACCAAACCAAACTACCTCTTTTTGAGTTTTTTGCTTCCTTTTTGTTTTACATTTACTTAAAACTTCCTCCCTACTGACATCTTTAGTCCATGGTATTTATAACCTTCTTCTGTAGAACCACATCTATGTTGCGTCAAGTCTCCTCTTCATGTGTGACGAACTGGTTCAGCATCCATTGCCATACAAGAGGATTGTTATTACATAGCAGTTCGGTAATCTTTTCTTTGTTCCGGGTTAAATATCCCTGTTGGGAAATATATTCTGTTTTCAGAATAAAACAGCAGAAAAATTTTACGAACACTTTTCATAATTTGTTCAATTCACGTTTGATACTATTTTTATACTATTTTGACACAATCCATGGCCTAAAAGCTACACATGATAAAGGATTGTCTTAAGGCCGTATCACGTTGGAACATTGGTTCTTGTCCGATCAACGAAGTTAAGCAACGTCGAGCCTGGTCAGTACTTAGTCGGGTGACCGCTTGGGAACATCAGGCGCTGTAAGCTTGCATGTACAGTTGTGTAATTAGTAAAAACTCCGAATGAGAAATCGGAGAGCCGGTTTCGAATTCCAGTCGGTTTCGTTACGCGCAAATAGCCTTGAGGAAAATATGAATTTACGATTACCCCCACCACTATGGGTTAAATAGTAAGAATTTTATCTGGAAATCAGTAATGCCGCAAAAATTCTTAATAAAATATCAACCAGCAAAAAAAAATACCCAAATAAATTTCGGTTATGAATTGACTAAAAGGGGTTGATAAGCCGTGAAAAACAAATGAATCAATAAAAACACTGATTAAGGTTATTTTATGAGAATGCAAGGAAGGAACAAGAGGTCCCTATTATGAGGACATGTAGCTTGATAATGGTTGACTGAAGACTTGAGAAGGTTAAGAATTGAGGAATCGGGGAAGCTTACTCTTGGGAGACTGTTCCAGAAAGCAACAGTTCTGGTGAAGGATCTTGTTGAGTGTAACTTCCTCCTTACCTGTTTAATACGAACGTGAGTCTATTCTGTATACGTGACATAGCGGGTCATAGCTGATAAGGCCTAGGCAAGTAGAAGTAAAGACTGTAGCTCGTCGGAACATCTGCCTTTAAAATAGCGAAAGAATTGCTCAAGGCTACGAACGTTCTGTTCGCTGTACCGCTCTCGAAAGTACCTGCCTCCACCTGCCATTCTATATCTTTACAGGAGACAGCTCGGTCTATTGAGTATGGATTATAGCTGCCATATCTGAAATGGAACTATACAATCTTAACAGTTCAGCGTTGGTAGAGTTCAAAAGTGTTTTATGCAGTTGTGTAAAGTGGTGTATTACTTTCCACTTTACAACCCGACTGGAGATATTCGCTTTTATTTATTTAGTTTATGGAAAATTAAACCTCGTTCAGTTTTTACTAAAAGGAACTTTGATTTTCCCAATGCGCATCCACTAGATTTACGCCATTTTAGTATATGCAACTATTAAATCAATTTATGAGTGACAATGTGTATAGTGCTACATGACCTAGAGATTGAACTCGTAACTTCAGTTAAACAGCAAGACTTAACAACCGTGTCGTTCCGGCAAATAAACACAAGTTTATCTTTTCGACAGATCTGCTACTGTTGTTGTTGGAGCTTTACTATTATTTTTCTTTCTTTTTCTTTCTTTCTTTCTTTCTTTCTTTCTTTCTTTCTTTCTTTCTTAACGTCTCCCATATTATATTTATTTCTATACTAGGCCTACTGAAGAGAATGTTATAATCTAGTATTTTCGCTAATTCTTTCTCATGTCTCGCTCTTCGGTGCTCAATAGACAAAGTTCTGTTCACACAACCTGAAAGAGAATGGACTCTTACCTGTTAGTCTTTTATAAGTCAAAGTATACTGCCGTGTAAAAGATCATTCCCTTAAGAGCATTCTTATCAAGATCTGAGATCAATTAATTTCGGTTGATTACTTCCATATTTATTTCTCTGCACCTGAAATATCAAAAACACCGTGTTATTATAAGCGAATAATATATTTCGAAATCTAGTGTTACGGTTTCGAATCTAACATTAGCATTTGAAGCTGTTTTTAGTAAATGACATTAAAAGACAAAGTGAACCTCAACTAAATGTTCATCGTTTCATAAAAAATTGCCTATATATATGCAATGAGACATACATCTTCTGAAAGAGCGATGACAATTATTGAAAAGAAAAGAAGAGACAGACGAAACAAGGCAACTATAGCAGCTTTACAATCATAGAAGTGGGTACAGTCCTATATTTATTTGGCTGGAAAGAGATTTGTTCCTTTTTTCCGAAGAGTTATTTGTAAGGCAAACAGAAATATAGTAACAATACATAAAATAATAACCCTTGGAGAGCCACACGTTACGCCTTCTTGGTTTCCCTTTTTCAACTCACTTGAAGTGGAACAATTGAATCGAATCAATAGCTTCATCTACTGCAAATGAATTTGAGATACTGTGCCGTGCCAGAAGATTTTTCTCATCATCTTGCACATTTACGAATCTACAATTCGTCCGTGCATTGAACAATGTTGCCATATCTAGTCTGGTGCTCCTGCTCTTCTACTGGAGGTTCTTGGGAAAAATCCAGAAAAGGATATGTAATGTAATCGATCCTGACTTAGCATCTTGACTTCAGTCACTTTCTCACCATCGTAACGTGGCTTCCCTGTCTTTTTTATAGATATTTTCATGCCGACATCTCACTTTTTTCTTATTTCCGTGATTACATGAATTTAAGCGTTCTACTAGATTGGCACCTAGGTCCCACCCTTTTACTGTTGAAATAGCAAAATACAACCGTCATTCTACTCCAACAGTACCTTTTCTCTCGTTTCCCTCCTGTGGGACTCCCTTCTGTTTACTTGCTTCCTAGATTACTACAATCTTCAGAAATTTAAATGTAATGTCAATCGCCATCTTCTATCTTCTTGAATCCCGTTCATCTTTTATCCTATACTCAGTCTTTTCTCTCACATTCACTCTCTGAAACACCCTGCGTATTAGTGGCATTCCCGCCTTGCTTGGGGTGAAATGATTAAATAATAATAATAATAATAATAATAATAATACATTTCCTTATGCAACATCAGGTATGACCCCCCATGGCTTCAGAACTTTATTGCAAGTGACAACTTGTACATATCTTGTCTTAGTGACTTAAAATGAGCTACAGTAAATATCCCTTTCAGTATCACCAGTTTGTTTTTTCCAGTTGTTTAGTCTTAACCAGTTTTGTATATTCCTTAGATACTAGGGGAGAGCATCATGGCCGGGTGCAAAGACATGGGGTGGGTGTTTACTTTAGGCCGGGCGGATGAGAAAGTTAAGATCACTTAGAAATGACAATTTAATATTTAGGAATATTCTCAGTCGGAGACCGTCTGAGTAGACTGTTAGCTAAACTGAAGTTATTTTCAACCGGACCCTACCTGTAAAGTTAGGCTCTGTTACATCAAAATTTAACATTTATCTTGCACATTGGCCCGTGATACGTATGCCTGACATACACTTCTTAACTTTCGTTGTCTGGAGGCTATGTTCACCTCTATCATGAGTTTTTAAAACATCATAACCAGCAGCAGATGGGCATCGATTTCTTGCCTCACTAACTTCAAAATGCTTAAACCAGTTTTGGGCAATACGTGTAGATGTTTCTTTCTGTTTTTCCGAATTCTGGGAACTTTGGACCTTACTTTGAAATAATGCCTTACATTTGCCAAACTCTCAATAATTCTACATATTACTTAAAAATGGCTCTCTAAGTAGGCGACCATGTCTTCACAGATTGCTTTTCTTTCTTATCCGTGTATTGTTATAATTTCTTTGAAAATATTGTAGAGTAAATCCTGTAGCTTTCCCAAGGGTTTTAAATTCAGTTTTGTATTTTTCTCGATTGGTTTCCAATCAAGAATAGAAATCCCTGTCTACCGTACTATTTAATCTATAGCTAATATATTTAGCTACCCCGACGAGGGTTGCATGTGGCACAAGGTCGGTTTAACGTGGGTTCTCCGAGCCCGTAGGCTCAGTGAAAAATATTCCCTTTTTGAACCCGCATAAACTGGTTCAGGGTCAGTCTACCTCCCCGAACGAGACTCTGCCCTTCGGCGGAGCCTCGTCTGGATTCCTCTCTGCCTTCAGGCAGAGACTTCGACTGTTTAACTGGAACAGGTCGTAGCTGGTATTTAATCTATACCTAGAGGCAGAAGTGCATTTCACGAGAACATTAGTGCAAAGTAAGCACAATAGACTATGCTGGATTCGCCAATTCCTCTTTTCAGATCGAAAATAATTGCAAAACACACACAAAGGATAGGGATAAGAATATCATATTTAATTATAATATTAATAATATAATGGAGCCAAAGATCCTTTTTAAATGTGCGAATGAGGTATATCTTTGCGCAAAGGTAAGAAAAAACGAAACTGCTTTCGATAAATTTTGACAATAATAGTTATATAGTGACGTCATAGTACTTAGATGTGTATAAGAAATAAAGTTTGGAGTAAATCGAGAATGTTTTTTATTTGCTCTAATAAATAGACTTATTTTCGAGTAAAGGTCTGTAAAAACATACGTCTATATTCTATATAAAGATTGAACATACTTTTGACGTCTAATATTTCCATTTTGGAATTATCGCAAATGAAAGTGAGAGAGTCACAAAGTGGCACCAAATATTATTCTGAATTGCCTTTTGTTGTTTCTTTGTTTCAAGAAAACGTCAAATTACCCATTGTTTTACAAAAGTGAATTTTCATCGAAACCAAACTTATCAGGATTTTTATATCTATTTACTAATCTTCGATCTTATTAAGGTGCCCCAAATCTTTTCTCATATAACCAAAGTTTAGTAACTAAATTTGCTGTTTCATCATTGAGCAACAGTTAACAAGTTTGAACAGCAGCACATTATATTTTAATAAATTCGATTTTCATTGGCTGCTCCCAGATTTGTGATCTTGTGTCAAAATAGTGTAGGCTTAACTAATTTTACTAAGCACCTCAAATTTTGGTCTTTATACTAGACTAAATTTAATTAAATATTTAACCATTTTACCGTGAAGTGACAAGCCTGGACTGCCGATCATTTTATTGCAAAGAATATTTTCCAACTTTTGATTCCTTGTGCCATACTCAGATGAGCAAATATCTCTTGCTCTCGTGGTGAGATTGTTCTGTAGACTGGTACTTGTGGCTGCGTTTTCAGTTTACTAAGTACTCGAATGGAATATTCCCGTGTCTCTTTGTGCTTTAACAGAAAACAAGAAATATGACACCGACATCAGAAGACCTATTGAAATATCGAAAGTTACCTTCCAAAAGCTAAGAAAAGTATCAAGACACAGTGGAATTTCCTTAGAAACAAAGAAAAACGTGATAAATTGTTTTAATATCAATCCTATATGGCAGTGAATGCTGGACAATCTATTCACAGATGAAGATGGAACTTGAAACAACAATGATGTGGTTCTACAGATGTGTGCTGAGAA